CCGGTAGCTGGGTGCCTTCGACTATTTCCGCACAGTAGCCGGAGCTGCTGACCACGACTGTGCGCTACTACAGTCGGATGGTGTCGATACAGGGGGAGCGAACCTGCGTGCGAGGCTGCGCCAGGTACTTTGTAGAGCACGAAGGTGAAGATAGCGATGAGGAGGGAATACGGCTGGTGCAAGAAGGAAAGAGAGGAGGGTTAAAGGCAGTAAGGCAACGGAGGAAGAAAGTGAACCCAGACGGAAAAATGAGTCTGTGCTCCCGAAGAAATGAGGTGGGTAGCCGCAGAGACGAAGCAAGTGCAAGTGACGGGCGTAGGAAAAAGAAAGCGAACCTGGCCCGAATTCGCGTCGGGTGCATTCGAAGTCTGAGATGAAGGGGCGGGAATAAAAGCGGACATGGCCGGGAGGAAAAATGCCTACCCCACTCAATTATTGATAGAATCAGGTGGGGGGAAGTGCTTAACAGGGGTTTTCGGGGCAGGCGACCCCGAATATGCAGTTCGATTAGGAGGAAAATTAGTAGGATAAGAGGTAGGAGAAAGAATTAGTGCGCCGAGCTATGGCAGAAAGTGAAGGAGAGGGAGAGAAAAATCAAGATAACTCGGTTATTTCATGACCGATTTTAGTGATTTAAGATGCTATACTGGGGTTTTTGCATAGGGCGAGTACAATGATGAAGTTAGTTTTAACGTTAGGTTAGTAAAACCAGGAGTTAGTGGGAGATAGAGCTGCGAGAAGGCATCGAGAAGGGGTTATGGCGGGAGCAAAAAGGAAGAATCTCGGATGATATTTGATAGAGACGGCCGTATGAGGAAGTTAGATAGGGGTTTTGGAGCCTTGCGGGGAGAATGAGCGCGACAGATTGTTGGTTTGGGCAGGGGACTGGGCGGCATGGCCAAAGGGAGCTGCGTGCGGGATGACAACATCGAAGTATGGATGCAGCGGGCCTTCATCTGCCCTGGCCCACAGCCAGGGCCTATTTGGCTATTTGCCAGTCCGGCCTGTGGGACCAGGCCGTGGCCTGACCCCACAGGCCGTGCGGTTATTCAGTCCAGTCCAATCCTGCCCGGTACCACTGTCGGTACCAGGTCAGTCCAGTCCAGTCCAGTCAGTCTGCTGGGGGTATACCCCAGCTGCAGCCTGTTTTGTGGCTCATTCTTCATTTGCACAGATTGGAGTACGTGCGTGTTGAGTCTGCGTTGGAGCTGCGCTGTCCCTTCCAGCTCCATCTCCATCTCCCCCATCTTCATCCCTTCGTTTTGATCCTGACGGACCGCCATCCCAGCGGGTCCGTCACACTGGTATCAGAGCAGGCTTTCCTCCCTGCTCCTCTCCCCCACCCACCCCACCTATCAGTTGCCACGTGGCTTGAGCAAAAAA